GTGGCACACAACTGTAATCCCGGCATTCCAGGAGGCTGAGGCACAAAGATCATGAGTTGGAGCCCAACTTGGGCAACTTAGTGAAAACCTTTTCTCAAAATAACAAAGCTGGGAATAGCTCAGGGTGAAGACTCTTGGTTCAGTCTCCAGTGTTGGAAAACAAACAAGTCCTGACGTTCCACCTATACTCCAGACCAGAAACCAGAACCTCCGGAGATGGGGGGAGCCAGGCAATAGCCGCTGATAAAGCTCCCTAAGCAATTTAATGTGCAACCAAAGCCAGGCTGCTGAACTCTCCTTTAGCTGTGTGCCATGACTGCTACTTCCACATGGACTTAGAAATCAAAGGCTAGTGTGATCTCCAATGCTTCAAAACAGTGGGCTAATCTTCAATTTAGAAAAAAAATAAATAATACTCTTCCAGAGTTACTTTGACAGAAAGTCGAAAGTCTGAGCTTATGAGAACCAAGAGTTATGTAATGATACCAACTGACTCCATGAGGTCCTCAAGCGTCTGGAGGGTAATTGTGGACTTAAATAGATTGAAGGAAGTAGTGAGGCTGACTCCAAATGTCTCTGCAGGCTACACTGGATGATACTCAGCGAAGCCTTTTCCTTGTACTTCTCCAGAATGGAAGCATCGGCGTAGAATGCTTTAAAACATCTTGGCAACAACAGGCACACAGGTTAAACTATACGTCCTTCAGGTGACTGCCTTCTCTCTTCCCAATTCTGCTTGTATTTATGAGCACAAATGCTCTCACCTCTCCTCTCTCTCCTAAGACATTTCACCCAATTCCCACTGACCACAGTCCATCTGCGCCTGTCAAACAATTTTTAAAACACAAGACTATGTTTTCAGCACTTTTAAAAATATAAACAAAAACTGAGCAAAAAGTAATTCCCATGTAACCATCCCACAGCCCTTTGTCAACTTTCCTGTTATTGAGCACTGCGGTACGCAAGCTCACAGTTTATACAAAGGGGCAGTCTGTGTTGTACAGAAAGCATTCATGCCTGTTCACACACCAGTTAGGAGATTTCCTTGCAATTTCTGAGGCTGAACTTTAAGACCAGGTCTCAAGCCAAACTTCTTATTTAAGCTCCTCTGACCCTTGTCTTACAATCAAGTGCATTTTCTCTCACTTCCATGAGTCTGGTGATCAGTAAAAGGGCTCCTGATCCTGGACAGACATCCTGCTCCCCGCAAAACCTGACCGCTGTCATACGTCAGGACCTGCACAGGGGCAAGCTAATCAGTGATGGGGATTGCCAGAAAAAACACCGCTCTTCGTTCTCCAGATCTGCAAAGCTGAGCAGCACGCGCTAACTAGGTGATGACGACGGCTGTCAGTGGCCACTGACCTTAGCCTGTGAGACGGTGCCCACTGATCTGCAATCACCCATTTCTGATAGAAACCACCTCTGAATCAGCCTCCCTGCTAGGCGGACTCAGAGTTCTCCTTCTGCACCTTCAGCTGGCTTTTCTGAGCAAAGTCACCCTGGAGCCCCACCAGCTTCCTAAGGGCAGACATTTGCTCTGGTTGAGTTTGAATTAAATTCTGCCCAATGCTGTCTCCCGGATCCGTCTTCTCCAGACTCTAACACATACTGTGTCCAGACAGTACTGTCACAGAAAACTCCTCCTCCGCTCCCTCTGCCTCCTGTAGGGAAGGCTCTGCACACCAGCTACCTGTCACTCTAATACTTTAGCAGCATGTCACTGGACTCTGACCTTCCTAAATCCGATGCGTGGCCAGGCGTAGGTGCTGGGCACTACCACTTGACCCGGATGAAGAAGAAACCAGGCTGCTCGATCCAGCTATTCTTACCCCAGGGGCATGTCCACATCGAGGCCAAGTCCACCCCTGAGATTGTCCAGCACTTTCAAATGCTCTTCTATTTCCTGCCAGCTACCTATGGCCAGACACCAGCCTAGGAGCCAAAGCAGGGCTGCTCCTCTGCCAGATCACAGCGGGTGAGGCTACGAGCTGCGGCTTCGAAGACAGCTCCATGGGAGGCAGGCAGGCCGAGGTACAGCGGATCTGACCCACTTCTCTTACGTGGTTCCTGCTTATGTATCACAGCCAATGTTTCTCTCTCCCACCAGTGCTCCTCTGAACAAGTACTTCGTTTAAAACATGGAGAACGAAGCAGGAAATAAAAAATGAGCATTCACGTTCAAATATTGTTATATGTGTTTGTATTGCAGTAAAAGATGATCAGGAAGGACACGTCCCTGGAGACAGAGACACGTTACGCTGACTTACCCTCCCATCTTGCAGTCCCCCGTTCCACCTTGCCAGGCTCTGACGTACTGTGGGTTGGCCCACAAGGTCACTGGCTTGAAGGATCCGCTGGAAAAATAAGGTCCCACTGGGCTCAGGATTACGAGGAGCAGCGCTTTGGTGGGCTTCTTGACTCCAAGAGAAGGCTGCAATACAGTCAAAGTACATTCGCCTGCAATTTACTACGCAGACAACAGTCTGAAAGTGTAGAGTGGACTGTATCTGTCATCTGAAGGGGCCAGTCAGAGACAGAAAGCCTTTCCGGGTCTTTTAAGAGGAAAACACTGAGGATAAACTTTCATTTTTCTTTGCTTTCTGAAGTTACGATTTTAGAGGAAAGGTGAATGAATTCTGTTGCCCATAGGATTTTAGAGGGAAGGCTTATTTTTACCCGCCAGCTATGTGACACCTTTCAAAACTGCACTGGTTAAAAATTGAAGGGAAGAGGGCTGGGGATTTAGCTCAGCGGCAAAAGCGCCTGCTTGGCAAGCGCAAGGTCGTGAGTTCGGTTCCTGGTACCGGAGAAAAACCCAAAAAAAAAACCAAAAAAACAAAAATTGAAGGGAAGGCCCGGGGATATAGCTCGGGGGCACAGAGCCTGCCTAGCAAGCACAAGGTCCTGAGTTCGATTCCTGGTACCAGAAAATAAAATTGGAGGGAAGAATCAAGTTTTATTCTTTAGAGATAGCACATATTTGTTTCTCTAATGAGTACTCCAAAAACAGGAGGGCCTGGTCCACCAGGTGTGGAAATCAGCAAGTGGGCCCTGACCACACCTGCTTGTGTTACACAATAGAAAGACTATAGCTTTTGCAGAGGTAGACATCAGATTCAGCGGGGTGTGGTGCCCCATACCTGTAATTCTAGCACTCTGGGAGGCTGAGGCAGGAGGACTGCTAGTTTGAGACAAGCCTGGGCAACTTAGTGAAACACTGTCTCAAGATAATAAAGAGCAAGCAAATAAATATGCTAGGGACATAGCTGAGTGCAAAGGCCCTGGTTTCAATCCCCAGTACTGCAGGAACAAAACAGGCACCAAAACAGATAAATACCATCAAAAAGACGGGGAAGAGTGATTCAGCAACTGTATCGTAAATAACAGACAGGTGACAGCCCTTATCATAAGCACTGCAAAGCCAAAAGCCAGCAGTGCAAATGCTCACACCGTCCTTCCACACAAAGCAGTAATAGGGGATTAGCGTAAGTGGTTATTAAAGAAGAAAATCTAGAAATGGAAAGCTTTGAGTGCTGCATATTATACACGTAAGAAAGGTTACTGGGCCGAGCTGTGTAATCCTAGACCACAGACAGTAAGAACGAGGTCAGGACTGTTACATGATAGATAGAAGCCCTTCGCGTGCAGCCTTCACTGCAGCTGGCTCTGGCAGGCTGGGGGTACAGGCAGGAGTCTGTGTAAAAGAAGAAAGGACTCATTTCCAGCTGATCTGGAGCCTTTGTCACATCAGATGAAACCGCCCAAAAATACAGTTTAGAATTTTTTTATCTGACTTTCCCTCGCACTTCCTTGTACTACTCATTGCAATCCCCAGACCACTACTTAACCCCTAGATCACCAAGAATCAGGTAGGTAAAATATTCCTGACCATTACAATAGCCCTGACAATGTTTTGCCTCCAAAACTTGAAAACAGAACTATGCTATGACCTAGCGATACTCCTCCTTGGGATATACACAAAGCAACTAAAATCAGCACCATACCAGAGATGCCTGCATACCCACGATTACTGTGGCACGATTCACAACAGCCAAGATGTAAAGCCAGCCTAGGGGCCCAGAACTAAGGGACAAATAAACTGTGGTATACGTATACACAATTCAGTCACAAAGAAGAAAGCAAGCCTATCATTTGCAGGAGGAAGGATAGTGGATAATACTGGAGATCATATTAGCAAAATAAGCCAGACTCAAAAAAGCAAGTACTGCACATTTTCCCCAAATATGTGGAATCTAAATAAAAAGGAAAAAAAAAAAAGATGATATGGAAAGCAGAGAGCAGGGCTGGGGATGTAGCTCAGCAAAATAACACTTGCCTGGTAAGCGCGAGGTCCTGAGTTCGATTCCCACACCAAAAAAAAAAGAAAAAGAAGAAAAGCAAAAAGCAGACTATTAGACTATCTGAAAGGGGATAAGAAGACATGGGAGCAGGGCATAAGGAGGGTAACAGGAGGGACGGGCATGACCAAACTACATCCGTGTGTGAAAATGCCACAGTGAAATCTAGTACTTTATGATTTTAATGTGTGCTAGCACAACATGTACACTGAAAACCTGGTGTACATCTCGATGCCATCTACACAGTGTGGCCTCTTAGGAAATGGGGGGATCATTCCATCAGCCTTGCGCAGGAAGGACAGGACCAAGCAGGACCTGGGCAGCTACTGAGCCAACTGTTCATGGATGACTGAGGGAGAGAAATGAGTGAGCAACAAAAGCAGAATTTGCTTTTGGGCTGGTTTGTGTTTGTTCTTTAATGGTGGCCTTAGATGGAAATAAGGCACCCAAGAAAGGAGGAAGACCCTGAAAGCTTTCACTCCTTGGAAGGGCAAATGTTGGCATTGGTAGACAGCACACATCTGCTTTCTTCCCAGCTTTGAGAAAATTTGACTATTTGATCACTGCGCTTTTTATTTACCCAATAGATAAGTACAATGACACCTTCATTTCATGTGTGCTCTGCAGCTTTCTATCTTAGACTTTTTTATGAACTCTTACAGTAAGGAATTAAGAGGCACGTCTCAATATAGATAAACTGTAATAGACACTGTGGAGGGCCACCTGGGCGACTCTCCTTGAAAGAGGAGCACCTGCCTCCATTTTGGCTGAGCCTGACCCTATTTTCAGGTGTTGATCCGCACAGAGCCGGCTGGGACTTCTCCTTATCCCTACAGTTGGCTTTAAGCAATGCATATCGGTCTAGCCGAGGTGCTGCTGTGTAGTCGTTGAAGAGGACAGGCAGTGTTTCCCCGGATACGCTGTGAGCCAAGATGAGGCAGGATGAAAAGCCAATGCTCCACAGCTGTCAGCAGGGATCGACAAAAGAGGCCATCACTGCCCAGGGCCTGAAAGATGACACATCAGACCTGAAGCACCCACCCCAAAACATTAGATACTGTCTCAGCTGTGTTATGCAGATTACCCTTTCTGCACATCCTCCTCTCTGCATACTGCACAGCTGATGTGGGGCCTCCTGCCTAGCCCGGCTCACAGCACTCACATACTTCCCACCACTCTCGCAATTACTCATCCTCAAGCCATGCCCTTCTTCACAAATTAATAAAACCTGGGTTTGGCCCTGGGTCGAGGCCTTTGTTCCGGCTAGCCACCATCGTGGCTGCACTTAGGACCCCTGGGCTCCCCATAACTACAAATATGCCTCAGTGTCTTCATTCTCACCAGGGGTTGCACTGGAAGTGATAGACTGGAATGAACCCCAGTAACTTTTCCATGGGATTACAAATAAAAACTTTCTGGGCTGCAATGAGGACCAGGAAGGGCTCTCTGTGACTGACTAAAAAACTTATGGAGCTCCTAAGTTGTCCACCAACTTATTTGTAGACAAGCTAATGGCTTTATTAACTTTCATATGAATGCTGGGAATATTATTTTTCCTCTTGGAACTCATGCAATTCATGCAACCTGCTGCATTACATTAAAAGAAGTAACAATCGCCCATCGTCATGGACCTTTTTCCTTGTGATAAATTTCACATGGTTTGGGTGTGGGGACGCGGTTCAGGGGCAAAGTAAGTGTCTAGCGTGCAGTAGGCCCTGGGGGTTCAATCTCCAGCAGCTAAAAAAATTGCACCTTCCTTTCCTGACAAGTAGTCTTGCATTTATTCCACTAGGTGGTAGCACTGAGAGCACACAGGGGAAAACAGAGGCAAGAATTTCACACATACAGTCTATCTGCAGAAAAAGCATCTTGATATCCCTTAAGATTTCTATTCTTAGCAAGCACATAAATTAAAGAGCTTACGTGTACTAACTTTTTAATTTTCTGAAACTAAAGCCAGGTCCGCTCATAGTTCAGAAACACTTCATGCACTAGTGTGGGTCACAGCTTGGTCACTTTCATCTTTCCGAATCAGTTATCTCAATCGTCTATCCATGAAAAGAACTCTATGACTTTTTCTGAAAATGGTCATACTGGGGCGCCAAGACTGAGAAGAAATAAAACGCCACTCTGCGCTTCAGTAACAAAAACTGGTGGATGTTTCTACCCTCAAGAAACACTGAATGTCCCTTTGATGTATTCCTCCCTCCTCTCCTAAAATGCAATTTGAATTCTGTGCTGCTGCTAAGAGTATTTTATTAGATAATATTAATCAACCAATTACCAATTACTCCAATGATAACACCTGACAAAGCAAAAGACACATAAATAAAAAGATAGTAAGGATGCCAACAGCTCATCGGGTGGGCAGGGCCGTTTCTATAATCTAATGGCCTTAGGACCAGTCAGATTGACCGAGTCTCCTTCTCTGTTAGCTTTCTGGATTGTTTAAATAGAATTGAAAGGGGACTTTAAAAAAGTGTAAGAATAGGGAAGATAAACATTTCAGATGCAACGTAGAGACCACAGAGACTTTACAACTGAAATACTAATGTGTTAAAAAATACTTCTTTTTTAAACTTCAAAGACTATTTTGCTCACAAGTAAATCCATGTATATTTTGCATGGAAGGACAAGGCACTGGGGTATGACAGAAAATAAAAGAGACATGTCCCCGTGAAAATTACCACTTCTTTCTGGGTCACTCAGAAATTCCTTCATAGAAAAGCGGAGAGCTCAGTGAGCTGAGAAAATGCTATTAGTCTAGCCTCTGGCCTGAAACGGAGGGATGTTCAGCAGCATGTGGAAGCTGGAGAGTATTTCTGCCCAGGAAAGCAAGAGGGAAGAAACAGATCACTGGGACTCACGGACAGTCTTCATAAAGAAGCACAGCGTATATATTTTTAATCAAAGAGCAGCCTGATTCTTTTCATTCTGCAAGTTCTTTTTTAAAAAATTACAGTTAAAACAGGGAGTGGTAAAAAATACTGAAGTGGGGTGCAGTAAGGGAAAGGACGGCTGGTATATTTGGGGCCTTAAATGTGTTGAGGGCCACAAATATGAGGAAGACCAA